ATCAGTCCACAAGGGTCTAACCCACGGATAAATGCCTTGCGGATCCTCTCAACATGGAATCCCTGCTCGGGGGCCACTGTGGTTTGAATTGCGGTCCGTTTCTCATCAGAATGCCTTTAGAGGAACCAATTCACTCCCGTCTCTACAGAGACATCCACACCGGCCATCTCCGCCAGCCAACCTTCAGTAAACTTCCGGGAACCAGGTGGGTAAAGAAAAGGCCACCAGCTCTTCCACACGCAGACAACGCTCTGGGGGCTAGGGACAGTCACCAGTGTGTCGTGGAAGCCCTGTAGGTGTGTCCGAACGCCCAAGCACCCAGGAAATGGAACAACTCAGCCAGCAGGGCACCCGGCTGAGGTACGCTGAAGGACTCAGGCTTTTGTTTTAAGGGTATGGGAAGGTTTCTTGTTTTTTTTTCCAAGATGATATTGTTTGGTTTCTCAAATGTTCTCAGATGACAGTGTAAATAAAGCGTGGATTCGTTGAGGCAGCAGAGGGGCATAAATCACAAAATAAAGAGAAACCCCAAGGAAGCAGGAGCTGCCTTCCAGTGACATGGAAAAACACCCCCGTGCTGGAGTTAATAAATAATTAAAGGCTGTGGAAACCATACACCTGAAACTGCCAGCCCCTTCTCTGCCCTCCTGGCCAGGAGCAGTGCCAACGGGTTTCAGCTGCCCAGGTTACCTGCCCAGTGAGCCTCTATTTCTCCAATAACACCACGTCCTTCTCAAAGAATCAGGAGCTCATTCCCATGTTTGATCCCTTTGGGTCACTCTGTCACCCCAAGCCCCCGTGTAGGACTCCCAAGGCAGGGTCACATTGCCCTCGGGACTAGGCCAAAGGCTGGAGCTACCAATTGTGAGGTCCTGAAACCACGGCGTGTTCTTTGTCCCCTGATGGAAAGGCTCTTGGGAATACAGCAAATACCCACAAGCAAACAATGAAAGCGTGCACAGTGACTTTCATTCCGATGCTGCCCAGCCCTGTGTGTGTTTAAAACACTTTAAACTCATACCGTCCTCTCTGCTTCACAACGACAGCCACGACTCGGTGTGCTCGCACCCTGGCCCAGTATCTCTGATGACTGAGCCACAGTTCCCTCGCAAGCTACTCGTGGGACAAACCGAACACCAATGTTTACAGAAACAATGCAACCCAAGCGAAAACATTCATCCAGAACCAGGAAGCATAGAGCCAGCCGGGTTTGGAAGAATAAGAGAGAGGTTAGAGAGGTTGCCCTGGGGCAGACAGTGATACACAGCAAACACAAGCCTAGAAAAATAAAAGGTTAAATAGTTGTCATTTCTGCAGGAGGCCTTGCAACAATTCATTCTTAAGTCAACAGGAATGTGCCTGATTGAACAACCTCCTCCGATGGAGTGTCGGGACTGCCTACGCAAACTCAGACGACTGTCACTGGCCCGTGGCAAGATGGGCTTGCCTTGCTCGTCGCTGTCAGACCCCCTCCATGGTGCTCAACACCCCCAAACAGAAGCAGATATGTTGGAGGGCAAGCCCACCCCCAACTCCACCCCAAACTCCAGAAGAGACTGGCACGTTCTCGGAAATGTTCGGTTTTCACGGGCAATGCCCTTCGATTTGAGCTCTAGACTGGGCTGAACATTTTCTTCTACGTCCTTTCGTTCTCCCTGGAAAGCGGAATCTGCTGGCCGCTGGGAGGCGGGCTTTCAGAGTCACCACTCGTGTGCAGGGTAACCCCAAGAAAACGTCGCCGGGTCCTGTACCAACTTCCCAGGTGGTGGATGAAATTAACCTATGTTGTAAATCCCTTACAACAGGTCCCTCGAGGCCACTGTACATTTTGAGAGGCTTCCGACTTTGTGGGGTCATCTTCTAGCACGTTCGTTAGCAGACAAAATGATAGGGTTTTCACTGGCTGACCTTTGGCAGTGGACTGCCAGGACTTTCTTCCGAGGCTGTTTTAGTCCGAAAGTTCTGCTCCCAATCTGTCCACATTGGGTGTCCCTATCGATACCTGAAAGACGGATGGCGTAGCTTCCAGTGTCATGGAAACACACAAGACACCAGAGTACAACAAACAGACAGGTCGTGGTCAAGGGCAAAGAGATGGTCCCACTTTATAGATCTTAAAGCCAGATGTCAGTTTTCTTTCTCAAAGAACATGAGCTTCGGAATATCCAGTACCCCACATAGTAGTAAAATGCTCTTCACTAGGTTGGACCATCGGTAGGTGAACAGCAGGTGAGGCAAGAAGAGCTGACTTCTAGCCTCTGGCACCAATCTGCAGGCAAGAGAGCCCCACAGACCAGGCGCTCGAGCCTCCATCAGCATGCAGTGAGAAGGGCTGTCGCAGCCACAGTCCCTGAGGAGAAAGCAGAAACGCCTGTCCGCAGGCTCTGCAAATGTGCACCCCTAAGAATGCAGCAGGACCAAGCAGGCAGCACCCCTGGATCAGAAGTGGGGTACTGCAGTGCAGAACGTGGTCATCTGAAGGTGCCCTCGGCTTTATTTAGTCAAGGGGGAAAAAAATCCTTGGTAAGCAATAGATTTCCATTCACACACAAATAAAGAAATATTATTTCAAAATCACCTCCTAGATAAATTGTAGCAACCCACGGCACACTATTGCAACCAAACCATTCATGTTAAGGCGAAAACTTCAAGCTGCAGAGAGGAAACAGCATGTTACAAAACAGTCTGTATGCTGTGAGCTCCTTGTTTGATAGTCGGCCGGCATCGGTAGTATTTGTGTGCAGGGAAAGTGGATGAACACAGCCAAGTCCCCGGAGCAATTGTCCCCATGTCACGACTTTGTCTGTCATGCGTTTCAATGCCCTGCTTTTCAACCATCAGGACCAGATTCGTCATCGTTTTTAAAAGTCTTATTTTAAGACTGAAAAAAGGTCTCGTATCCTTTCAGCCGTAGTGCAGATGGGAACAACTTGTTTTGTTTGTGTTTTTGCTCGAGGACACCTTTTCTAAGGACAAAGCAAGGGCATGTCGGTGACATTTTACAGGTGCATATTGACTCTTGGGCCCAGCAGTTTATTTAGTTTATTAAAAATAAAATGTGGTCAAAGTTGATTTTGTGGTTGCCATGAGAAGGCACACAGCACAAGGTGGACCAATTCAACAGTTTCTGCACACACCACCTAGTGGCAAGGGTGGCCTTCTTCGAGTTGTGCAAACCCCGGCCCATTGATGTTTTCTGCGTAGTCTCTCCCCTATTAACCCTAACCCTCTGCTCCCTAAGGTCGCTATCTAATCCTTCAAGATGCACTGGTCAGTTTGATCCCATATCAACAGTTCTTAAAATAGCCCAGCACTCCAGGCAGGCCTCCTTCACTAGTTAAGCTAAACTATTATTTGCTTATATGAACACTTCAGGGGATTTTTTAATATGGACGGTGCAATGACGATCTCAGACCAGTCTTTTCAGAGGTTCACCCACCCTCGGCTCCTCGAAGTCTGGAGTCCCTGACCAGCAATTTCACAGGTGCACAAAGAAGGACAAAAAAAGGGTCGTCGGAGCATGTCGGGCCGGCATCAGTCAGAACCGACTAAGCACACGGAAGCACGCTGCTGCCAGTAGCAGAAGATTGCAAAACAAAGATCCACCAACAGGAAAATTCAAATAAACTCTAGTATACCTAGCCAAGGTAACAAGAGCCCTGGTGGCAGAGTGGGTTACACTCTGGGCTGTTAATCACAAGGCCAGCGGCTCAACACCACCAGCCACTCCTAGGGAGAAAGACCAGGCTTTCTACTCCCATGACGAGTTACAGTATCAGCAATCCTCCGAAGGCGGTTCTGCCCCCTGCGCTGTGGGGTCCCTAAGAACCGGCATCGACTTGGTGGCAGGGAGTTTGGTTTGGGTTGGTTTGGGAGTCAAGGGAAAGCAGCCAGTAAAATGGGCGTGGATATGGACTGGCACAAAACCGATGAGACATGCAACTTTCCTCTAGTTTTTGAATGCTTCCTCCCCCGACTATCATGATCCCAATTCTACCTTACAAACCGGGCTAGACCAAAGCATGTACACCGGCACAGATAAGAGCTGGAAACACAGGGGATCCAGGACAGATGAACCCCTCAGGACCAATCATGAGAGTAGTGGTACCAGGAGAGGAGGGGGAAGGTGGGGGAGAAAGGGGAAATGGATTGCAATGATCTACATATAACCCTCTCCCTGGGGGAGGGACAACAGAAAGTGGGTGAAGGGAGACATCAGATAGTGTAAGACATGACCAAATAATATTAATTTATAAATTATTCAAGGGTTTGTCAGGGACAGAAGTGGGGGAGAGAGGGGAGAAAAAATGAGAAGCTGATACCAAGGGCTCAAATAGAAAGAAAACGCATTTAGAATGATGATGGCAACATATGTACAAATGTGCTTGACACAATGGATGGATGGATGGATGGATTGTGATAAGAGTTGTACGAGTCCCCCATAGAATGATTTTTTAAACCTTAAATGAAAAACTGTGCTGCAGACAGCATACGACCGACATGTATACAAATTGATGTCAACTAGATGTGGGTGTGTCCATAGTTTGCTGTCTAACACTTGGGGTCACCGTGAGGTGGGCTGACTGGGCAGCAAGGGGTTTGCTCCCTTTTCCATTTTGATGCTTTTAAGCTGGCTATCTCCGGAAGGCTCACCCCAAACTGTCATAACACTGCCTCCAGGGATGGAAATTCGGAGGCGGGGAGGATAGGAAAAGAGGTGAGAGGAAAACTCTGTGTTTACACTGTATAAGCTTGTCAGCACCTCGGAGCGTGGACCTCTTCATTCTGAAGGCAGGACCCTAAAATGGAATGCTGCCTCCATGCCCAGCCCCGCCCCGCCCCTGTGGACAGGGCACCTCAGGCCGACCTGCCTGGACTCTCTCAGTGGACGTCCAGGGCCTAGTTTAGACAAGTATGGGTTCAGTCAAAGCAAGAACACTGTGTCCTCTGACCACCGTGTCAAACTTGCACTTGTATATAGTAAACAAGAAATGTTTTACCTTTCAGCAAAGTTATCGAGTTTGCCCAGCTCATCAGAGAGACCAACAAGGGAGTCCAAGGTCCCCACCTAGAAAGAGCACAGAGAAGTTAGAAGCCTCACATTGCCTGGCTTGAGGTTAAATGTGGCTTACTAATTCAAAGGGGGGGGGGCTGTCATTTCCCTCCTGAGCTAGTAGCCCTGGGTCCATGGCCAGACTAGAAAGTGGGGCAAAATGTGGTGGGCTTTGGCATTGTTCTTCTGCCAACAGGAGAAACGATCATAGCTTTGGCATCAGAGGGGATGATTTGGGGGTCATGGTCTGACCTCAGGTCTTTTTCTCTTTGAATGCCAATTAGCTGTTCATAGGACAAATCCTCATTGCCAAGGCCAAGGCACACCGAGGAAGGGGGAGTGGGGAGTGAGGAGCAGAGCATGTCTAAAAGTCCTTCTTCTCCAAGACAGTCCCACCAGACCCTTCCTCTGGTCTTCTTAGCTGTGTTGACGGTGGTCTGGTCAAAGGAGAGGGAGGGAGAGCCTCACTTCTTCTTCCTGATGTGGAAACTATGTCAAAACTCATATATAAAAGTCTATTCGTAGACTCCAAAGGGGGCTATCGTGTGACAAGCCCCCACCCAGACATGCAAATATCGTTGGGTAACTGCATTCCATGTCACAAAACAACACATGCGTGCACTGTCAGTGGAAAGCCAATTTGCTCTGTCAAACTCCTCCCAAATCCCGGTACAAGAAAAGGCCAATGGGGAACTTCCTAGCCTACATTAAAAGAACAGGTTAACCGTGATAAGGAAAGAGACATAAATATGCATATATACATGAGGTTATGAGGTTTAGATGGCTCTAATAAGTGGACTATCTTCTCTTCGAGTACCTTGTCTGGCCTCTTAGCAACTTGGGACGGGACCAGGTCTTTTTGTATCTTTCTGTGCTCCCAGAGTCTGGCACTGTTGCTCAGGCACAGTCAAGAATAAGCAGAGACTGAACTTACGCACCTTCGAGCCAACTGGCTCTTGACAGTGGCAAACTTTAAAGTCAGCCAGATGCAGATGAACGAGCTCAGCACCCAGGCTGCTCCTCAAGGCTGGTTTGATGTGACCTCTGTTCTCCCCTTCAAAGGGCCCCCAGACTCTCCAGCATTTCTCCAACCTCCTTCCCCTGCCCACGTAGTTGTTGCCAAACCCCCTCCTCTCGCCTCAGCAGACCCAGAGGGATCCCGAGCTGTCTCCCTCGTCCACTGGGCAGGAGGACGATCGAGGCTGCAGCCTTCCACGCTCCCACATCTTAACTATATTGAGGCCTTCTTAGATGGTGAAGACAAAAACACAAAGACGTCAAGTCCATGGAACACTCCTCCTTGTGAGGCCTTAGCCCGCTCTCCGCCGTCTTTTTGCCCTCTCCACTCTGACGATGGTTGCCACATTCATTTCCAGCTCCGTGGTAAAGCCCCATGCAGACCATCAACGCCCTCATCACCCTCCACCCAGTGTTCCTGCCTTTGCCTTGCTTTTTCGTTGTTGCGTTTTCTCCGTGGTTTCCCAGGAAACACCAGCTCCCACCCACCGCCACCCTCCTCCCACGCCCCTACCTTGAAGTCTGGAATGGCAAACTTGGTATTGTAAGACAGGTTCGACTTGGAAGTGACAGTATTCATCCTCTCCAGAGCTTGTAAATTTTCCTTATCTCCGGGGGCAGAAATTAGCCAAAACTCCGACATGCTTCCGGTCTTCTCTATCTAGACACTGCTGAGAACCAACACCAAGAGAAACGTGAGGGGACATGTGTGAAACGGCGGGCTGTACTTTACAACAGGAGCCCTGGTGGTATAGTCATTATACATTGGGCTGCTAACCGAAAGGTCTGCAGTTCAAAACCACCAGCTGCTCTGAGGGCCTTCTACTCCTGTAAAGAGTGCTGGTCTCAGAAACTCCGGGGCAGTTCTGCCCTGTCCTGTAAGGTTGCTGTGAGTCGCATTGACTGGATCGCAGTGAGGTGGTGTTTTTGTTTTGTTGGGTGGTTTTTCCCCTCAGAAACGAATCCTATCTAAGACCTGGCGCTGTCCCCATTCTTTGTTTCTGAGTCTGTAGCTTAAGGGTGCTTATCTCAATTTGGGAAGCCCACAGGTTTTCCTTAAGTGAAAAGACTTCCCTAAAGTCCTCCTCCTTTGGGTGGTTCTGACTGGTTCTAAGGCAGAGAGGAGGGGGAGAGAAGGAGGAGTTCTGTTCATAGGTTCCCCCACTCCAGTGAGCATCCTCTATCTGGACCAGGAACTAGAGAGTGAAAACCTGGGCTTGGGCACCTCCTTCAACAACGTGTTTCTTCCTCCTGCGTAGCTTCTCTTGGGATGGTGGATGGGAGTGGACGGAGGAAGGAGACAGGGGATTCCACAGACTTAACTAACTGCCCAACCTCCATAGCGATGCAAGTTTAAAACACACACAGAGAGACTTCAGAAGGACTCCTCTTTGTTTACATAAGGGCCTACCTACAGCAGTGGTTCTCAACCTTCCTAATGCCGCACTCTTTAATCCAGTTCCTCGTGTAGTGCCCCCCCCAACCATGACATTATTTTCATTGCTACTTCATCGCTGTCATTGAATCAGGTGACCCCTGTGGAAGGGTCATTCAACCCCCAAAGGGGTTGCGACCCACACGTTGGGAATCGCTGGTCCACAGGTAAGCTGGGTGGGAGGACCCAGGCCCACTGAATTCTTTTATCCACAACACTAGTCACTTTGCCCACCTGAGCAGCTAGGTGGGCTTGGCAAGTAGATTGTTCAGCGTCTCTGGCCTGTAAAGTGTATTTGCTCTGCTCATTCAGAGGTGTGCACACCCAGAGCACTGCGCCTCTCTCGTGTGCACGGCCTCCCCAAAGTGTCAACACACAAGCAGACCAGCCTGAGTATTAACCCTCAGCAGGCCTGTGGTGGCCCCTCTGCCTTTTTGACTCCCAATCTCATCCAACGACAAAGGAAGGAATCCACAGTCTGTCCGGTGGATTCCGGCTCCTATGGAGCCTCATGCTGCAGACCAGCCGGTGGGTGGGTTTGAACCACTGAACAGGTGGTTAGCAGCCCCAGCCCTCCTCCGACAGCGCCGCCAGGGCTCCTCGGTCCCTTAAAATCCAGTGCAAACCAAACTCAGTTTCGTTCTGCAAAACTGCCAACGGCCTGGGGACAAACTGCCCCTTCTCGGCACCCGGGGAGATGCCCTCTGACAGCACCCACGTGAGGCGATGGGTCTGGCGCGCAGTTGGCTCCCACATTCCCACTCGGAGTCTGGACGGGACAGGCGTCTCGGCACGGAAGGCGCAGGCGACCTGAAAGGGGTGCCAGTGTGCCTCCCCGCCCCTCTGCCGTGGCCCCGGTTCGCCCCCTCTTACCCCCCACCCCACTAACACGCAGCCCGCCCTTACCAGGAGCCGAGGATGGCGCGCGGCGCAGGGCCTCCGCGGGCGGCGGGGGGCGGTGCGACCCGGAGCGCACGGCAAGCTCCCGGAGTGGAGCGCAGCGGCTTCTGCGGCGGCCGCGCGCTCCGCCCCGTCATTTTATCCCGAGCGGCAGGGGAGGCGGCAGTGGACGGATGGACGGCCCCCGGCGGGACATTTGCATACCTGCCGGCCGCGCTCTCGCCCCAGCCCTGGGGCCAATCGCCGAGGGGTCTTCAGTGACTGCGTCCCCGCGGAGGAGTGAGGGGTGAGACTCCGGGAGCAGCTCCTGGAATCGCGGCGGCAGGGGGGTGTGCACGGGGCGGGGGGGGCGGGGCGCTTTCCCACCGAAGGTTTGGACCCTCGTGAGCTGGGCTCAGTGGGCATTCGGGGTGCATGCGACATCCCGGCCACGTAGCAGAGCAGGACAAAACGTGCAGACCACGAGCAGGAGGCAGAGGAGGGGAAGGGCTCCGGACTAGGGTCAGCCGCCACTGGGGTCCCCTCCCGGGACCCCTCCTACTTTAGCGCCTCGACAGGTCTCCGGAGAGATCGCCTGCTCCAGGCCCGGACAGAAGAGAGTGCAGAGCCCGAGCAAAGGAACCGGCAGGTTCCCATATGTTTCTGAAACGCACGCTTGGGAAGAGTTACACGTGTATCTTTTCCTGCTAGGGAGCCAAGGAGACCCCCACCTCGCTGGGTCGCCCCCGGCCACCCGCGCTTTGCAAGCGGAAGGCCCGTAAGAGTGGCGTCTGATCAGAGCTGGGGGATCTGTGCTGTGGGGAGGAAGAGGTGGGTCCCAAGGGCTTAACGAGTGAACCTCTTTGTTGTTTCATCTCAGCATTCATTTTTTTCCCCCCCGCGGTCCAGGAGGAAACGGGGCGCACCGTGCTCTGCAGGCCGTGTTCTCACAGTGGCTTCGGGGAAAGATAAAGATCTCAGAAGTGTTCCTTCAGGGGAAGGGGGTGTCTGAGGCATTTGTTGCTCCCTCACTCCCCGTACATCTGTGGACCTATTTTCAGGCTACACTTTTAGAACCTTGAGAAAGGAACTCGGCCGGATGTGAGACTCCCATCAGAACCCTGCTAAGATGAGGACCGCCAGACGCAGGGCAGAAAGGTGGCCTTCGGGTCACAGCACTTCAGAGGACACTGCCCTCCTACTGTGGGTCCGGAATGGACTATTGGGAACTCCCTGCACCTGCACTCTGCATCATGTGATTGGGACACTCTGGAGCATGAGTCAGCGCTTGCAACATCTTCCTGAGGGAGTACACCTGAAACCAGGGATGAGGAAAGCCCATGTCCAAGGAGGCTGAGGAGCTGTTCCTGGGAAGGAGCGGCATGCTTGTCCATGGAAGGGGAAGTGGTGTCCAATCCTGGGCCTTGTCCAGCCAAGGGAACGATTGTAGAGCTGGCATGCACCCCACTTTACAAAGACGTGTAAGGGAACCCACTGGTGTTGGGTAAATGGTCAAGTATATACACACGAGGAGTTAGTGGCTGAGCTGGGAGGAGAACTTGGGCCTCGGTTCTAGTGGTACTCCTTGCAGGCTGGCCCACAGCTTCAATCAGCTGACAGCCCTCCTCAAAAATCAGAGCCACTGCCCTGGCTCCTTAGAGATTGAGTGACACATTTAGAAGTGGCCCCTTCTTTCTCTGTTCATGTCACCGTTCTTTCTACACACATGGTTCCCTCTAGCTCAGTGGTTCTCCACCTTCCTCAGGCCGCGACCCTTTCAGACAGTTCCTCATGTGGTGGTGATCCCCCCAACCATACAATTATTTTCGTTGCTACTTCATCACTGTCATTTTGCTACTGTTATGAATCGGGCGACCCCTGTAAAAGGGTCATTCAACCCCCCAAAGAGGTTGTGACCCACAGGTTGAGAACCATTGCTCTAGCTAGTTTCATGAGTGAAAAAAATAAGAGACCAAGACACACACACACACACACCTCTTTGACATTTGATTAAGAAAGCCATAGAATATACCACTATAGTGTTGCTTATACGGTTCAAAATCTTCTACTCAAAATCTAAACTCCTTCTGTTCTTTCACATCTAACACTTCTTAAATATTTGAATTGTTAGTAGTTGATGTCGACTAGGCTCGGTAGCTTAAATTTTTGTCAAGTAATCTTATTTTTATCTCTAGCTTATAAGAGTCACTCCATGCTTCTTTTTGAGAGCCAGGGAAATGCAGAAAAGGCGAATGATGAAATTAAAAAATACTTGTCATTCCATGATTGGAAAATAACCATTGTTAACATACAAATTATTGTTCATTCCTATTAATATGTATGCATACAGATTTTTTGCATAACTTAGATTATATACTAGCTGTAAAGTTTTGCAACTTGCTGTTGGCTGCTTTTTAACAATAAGAAAATTATCAAATAAATCTTATCAGGTTGGATAGTCCAATGTTATGAACAATTTATCATAAATCAGATACTGCAGAGCTTGAGTCAGATACATTTGATGTCAAAGCCAAATAAAGATACCTCACTGGACATTTTGAGAGAGCGAGAGAAACAGCCCTGCCTGGCCGGGGCCGGGGTTGGATTTGCAATTCTCAAAAGCAACCCCATAGGCACTTAGCAGTTTTCACTGACTTAGATCCCCTACAAAATAAGATCAGTCATTAATATGGAATAAGGGTGAGACACCGACCCAAAGTTGTGTAACTGGCTCCCTAGATAATAAACAATAGTATTCCCCCTTCATAAGAAATCCTTTTCCCTTCCAACATCAGCCTGAAACAGCTTTCCCCAACCCATTTCTCGGCTCCCACCGTACACCCCTTCCTGCCCACAGCCCCAGTCTCGGTCATCTGCCTACCAGTCACTAACTGACTGCACCTGCATGTGCACTGACCGTTGCGTTCAAAATGGGCCTCACCTTGTGAAAAATGCTCCACGTATACACTCTTCAAACCTAGAGACAGAGAATACCATCCCCCGCAGGGAATCAAGGTTCAGGAGGAAATGCCACTGGCCTTAAATCATTTCAAGCTTACTAGGAGTTTGGCTTTAGCTAGATGTTCCAGAAATGCTTCTGCTGTTGGCACTGCTGGTGCACGGAACCAGCCGAGGTCTGAGCGAGATCAAACAGTCCCGTCAGGTTTGGGAACCAGAAGGACGAGGTTGACCCAGTTGGTCTGTTGTTCTCCAGCCGCTCTCAGCTGGTGCACCTTCTGGACCTCTTTAACGATTACCTCATAAAGACAGCTATCAATAGGATTCTTTTTCCAAATTAGCACAGGCGTACCGTGGCACCTATAATTGGCTCTGGTGGATTTTTCTAGGCGTTGGTTAGATGAACCCATGGCAGTGTTTCTGCCAGAGACGCTCGACAAGTGGAGGGAAGGAAATGAGAGCAGAATCCGGACTGTCTCCCCAAAGCAAAACTCGCTGCTGTCGGGCCGATCTCGACTCTTAGCAACCCAATAGCAATCCTAAAACCCTTCACTTGCCGAGCCTTAGGTTGCCCCACCTGAAAGAATGTAGCCCATTATGCCCATTTCTCAGGCTTATGAGGACCAGAGAGAAGCTCAGAAGATGTGCTGATGGCAACTGATAAATGCTCCCTTCCCTTCTCTCCCCTTCTTTTCTCTTCCCCTCTTTTTCCTACAGTTTACACATTAAGCGCAGCGCATTATAGTAACCTTTTGAAAGAGTCCAGCATCTTTCTTTCTGGAGCCACTGTAATTTGATGTGTGTTTTCTCATTCAGGAGCTCTGGTGGCATAGTGGTTACACATTGGGCTGCTAGCTTCAAGGTCAGCAGTTCGAACCACAGGCCGTTACTCTGGACAAAGACAGGACTCTCTAATTCCATAGAGAGGTGTGGTCTTGGAAACCCACGGGGGCCTTCCACCCTGTCCTGCGGGGTCTCTATGGGGTATCATGGGCTCCGTGACAGTGAGTCAGTTGGTTAGTTTGTGTTTTGGGTTTTCCTCATTCAGCTGCAAAATCTTTGTGTTCTGAGGATTGCCAGCTCACCGTGGTCGCCACCTTTTTCCTGCAGAGAATAAGGCCCGAGCATTCTCAGGGTTTATTCTCCCAATAAAGAAGAGCTCCTCTGTGTGTCCATTCATTGAACAAGCCCTCCCGCGACCCATGCCCACCCCAGGATGTGTCAGGTGCTATAAAACCCACAGCTAGCTCGTTGATGCTGACTCGTGTGGACCCTATCTGTTCCGGAGTCGATCCTTGTGGAGGCCCAGGTTTCTCTTCTGCGATGCACTGTAAACCGCCAACCAAACCCACCCCCATCAAGTGGATCCTGACTCAAATAGTGACCCTCGACACGCTTTTGGAAACGGCACAGCTTTCTAGGAGCTGGATAGCAGGGCCGTTGATAGATTTGAACAGCCGACCTTGAGGTTAGCAGGCCAACACTTACTTGACAGCACCACCAGGGCTCCTGCAAAGTATTATGGGAAACACACACACACACACACACAGTCAGAGTTTGTAGACCAGGAGTAGAGTACATATGCTAAGAAGACTATCCAGAGTCCCAACTCATAGAAATTAAGCATAAGCACTGAAGCAGGGGTAATACCTGCAGAAAAATGTGGGGTAGCACACAAAAATATCATGAGCCTCATTTCACAGATGAGGACACAGGTTCAAGGAAAGCACGTGATTTGATCGAGAGGACAGTTAGGAGCAGGCCTGGAACTTGGACTTCATTCTTTTGCCTTCGAGTGGGTATCGCGGAACAAGAGGTAAACGAGCCCTCTGCTGGCCTTTCCAAAGAACTAATGATTAACAGGCTGCTGTGAGCTGAACTCCTGATTTTTCGACTCATTAACTGAGGGCGTTTAGATGAGTAACTTAATTTCCATGGGCTTTTTCTGCATCTGTAAAATGGAGGTAATAACTAACCGTGCCTGCCTTGCAGGGATTTGTCTAGGAATTACATGAAATGGCACAGTGGCCAAGCTGTTAGGTAATCGGTCATGGGGTGCTAGTGGGGTTTTTGTTATTGCTTGTGGTGCCATTGAGTGGAGTGTCCAATCACACAAATCCTA